AAGTATCTTGGTTTTAACCTATGCTGTTGCTTGGTTAAAAGGTTCTTGAACTCGATCTTTAGAACTCGAAATCGCTACCAAGCGTCACCGAAGCACCGACATTACTGTTCGCGGAAGAGTCGCTGATTGGCGCTTGTCATACGCTTACTAGTTAGTTGCCGAGCAAAGAAAACTTCGACGATGACAGTCCGCTCGTACAATAATGTAATTGCACTAGATTAGACTGATAGCCAGGGTTAATTCAACGAGTTTGGTCCGAGCTTCTTGTTCACTTTTTGGTTCGCACCCTATTCGTCCGACACTTAAACAGATAAGAAAATAATACCTCAAAATGTCAGCAGAGCTCTGTAGCCAGTCAACACAGCATATTCGAAACGATCTACACCGCAACAGATGTTGTTTTGACTCAATTAAGTGACGAGTTAATCTGCAGTATCTACTGCTTGAAAGAAGCTGAAATCAAAGAACATTTGTTATGTGTTCAAGTAGGCTGGAAAGGACGCCAAATCTCAAATGTTCTTAGACTTAAAGTGATATCGAAGCGGAAGTAATCTTACTACGGTGTGATAGGTTTTGTAAAATTTGCCTTTCCCGGCTAATTGGTTCTGGTCTTAAACGAGGTAATTGTGGAGGTCCTAATCAAAATCTGTTGACAAGTGTGAGTGTCTTTCTCCATTCCTTTTATTAGACTCGAACTTTTGTTTGCTTTCAGTGCTGAGTCGAAAACCAGTTTGTACTGGTTGGTTGGTAGAATAATGAAGACGCAAAAACCTTCTGTAAGACTTCCGGTGGTAAATTTTCCTAAACGCGGGACATCCCTCGAATCCACTTGACCTGACGAACATAGTTTTTGAAAATAGCTCTTACGGACCAAGGCTTGAACTTAGGTCAGATTGACTTTAGAGTACTTGGGCAGTTCTCTGATAGATCCAGAATTTGCCACAGCAGCTGCTTAAATATTACAAACATAGCCTAAACATGTCAAATTATAGAACTTTATACCATAATTATTTGAAAGAAACTAGCTGGCGATCCGTACTCAAACTTATCCTTGGCAAACTAGTCACCTAGCTGCACCAAAAATGACCACTCTGACAAGAAAATAATGACTTTTTGTGCTAATTGCTACTAAGTTTTGTTATGATAATCGCTTAAGTGGACCCAAAATAACTAGTTACATAACTAGCTGAATGATGGCCAGTTTATAAAGTCAAAAATAAGAGCGCATGTTACAGTGCATAAGTTTCTAAGTATGTGTGCTTGCACATGTTAATACTTTCTATCGAATTCAACAATAGGATTTGGTGTTAAACATTGAATTCCATGCCGGTAATTTCAAAAAAAAACTAGCTGAAGCTAAAACTTATTCTTAATGTACTAGCAACCGAACTCACCCAAAATGAACTAGTTCATGAGCAAGTAAAATCCTTTAATTTCTGATTACTGAAAGTTTTGCAAGAAACATCATATATAGTTTGTTGCCTAACTGGTCCGAAAACAACTGGTAACAAGACAAACCAAGATGTAATTACTTTTCAAAGTAAACAATCAAAAGTCTTGCACTGGGGGAAAGATTAATATTAACATAACTAACTGTAGGTAATATACTTGAGCAGCTATCAAATCATGCCATTGCGTCGATGATTACACAAATTGTGAAAAAAAAAATAAAATAAAAATTATTGTATTTGTTGTTGTTGTAACATATATTACCACATGCAACGAACATGTTTAATTACCAAGCTGTCGGTTGATTCGACAACCGAAGGCGACTGAGTGTCGGTCGGTGCGTCGATCGTTCCGACATTTGGTTGGTCTGACTTATGTTGGCGACGGTCGGATGGTCTCTCGTCTCGTCTCACCGTTTAGTCATTTGCGCATGCGTGTGCATTCGCGGATATCAGCGCCATCAAACGTAGCTACCAGCTGCACATTTTTGCACTCATATACATACAGACATCTGCGTAAACACTTATATAATGTAATGTAGATATTTAATGTACATATGTATGTATGTGTATGTACATATGCGCTGCACTTAATGCGTGTAAATTTGCGCGTGGATTGCATAAGTGATGAATTGCTCTTTAATTTGTGGGCGATGTAATTAAAGGCCGCTTGTTGTATGCATTTATTTGGCTTGTTGCTGTTGTTCTTGTTGTTGTACAATAGTTGTGGTTGCTTTTTTCGCGCATATTTCATGTTCCCTTTATTTAATTTGATTTCCAGCTCCCCCTGGTGCTTAACAAATGCTCGTACATAAACGTATATATATATATATATAGGTATGTACACGTATGCATGTGGCTTAGTATCTAATTTCACGCTTGCCTGCTAGACGCTGCAAACGTTTTGTGATCGAGAATGTTTAGATAAAAATATTATGCACCCTGTTATTACAGGTATTTGTATGTGTGTACGCATCTACTTGATTTTGTAGTAGGTAATAAATACTGGCGGCTCAAGGTCTCGCTATGAAGCTCTAAATTCTAAAGAACTCTTCTTTAACTGCGTTTTTCCGTATGAACATCTGTCTCTTTAAAAGTCATCGCAAAAGCTTCCTTTGAGAGAGAGAGAGAGAGTCGAAGCTTAATTTGAATTGAGAGCAAAGCTTAGTTTGGTAATCATTAAAGTTCCACTCGAATGATCTACAACAGTATCATTCCTTCGAAACAAGCGTGTATCATATACGAGTATATATGCGCCGTTTAGAGCTCTTTTTTCGAAGGTTTCAAGTAGAACCAGCGTTGGTTGTAGAAAGTCTGTACCCAAGTCAATGTTAGAGAGAACCTGAACCTATGCATGGACAAATTCCAAGTCCCACAGTTGATGGTAGTAAAGACCATTATTGGCTTACCTGCGCTAAAGCATTCTTATCATAATATAATCCGAATAAAATCCAAACCGCCAAGAATTATACTTCAATCTATTTTAATTGCCGCGACAGTCCCCAAAAGCCAATTTAGAGAAAATGTTTACACTTACAACAACAACAACAACAACAACAACAACAACAACAACAACAACAACAACATCCACAAAAACGAACCACATCCAAAAGAACCAGCATTCCCAATGAAGCCTTGATATAACACTGAGGAGGCCGCAGTAGCCAAGTAGTTAGCATTGCGTACTGCCATTCGGAAGGCTCGAGCTCAAATTTTCGTGCGACCATCATTCAAAAGTTGTAGAAAATTAAATAAATTTTATATATTTAACCCTGAGGCTTCGTGTCTGACAAAGAGCGATGTGAAAAGAATTAGAACACTTTGTAGACGAAATATGTAGTTGAAGAAGCAAACTCTCGTTCGGCGTGGAGCGAAGAAGAATTTCTCAATAATTTATTTACTCTTAAAATTCCAATTCGAAGCAGAGTTTTTAGCGCCTAACGACCAGGACGTTCGTGGACGCTCGTCCACCAACGCTTCGCGAGCTATTGTGGGTTTTTCGCTTTTCTGAAGACTTCAATCTCCATCTTAAGTTATATACTCCAGTATTTAGGGTTCTAGAAGACATTTCAGATACCTCTGACTGAGGTATGGAAAAACTAGTGTATTTTTTAGTATGATGGAGAGGCCTAGCTCACCGTTTCTACCAATCTCAGCGCATCTCTCAAAGAAAAACATACAAATATAAATAAACCAAACTAATCTAGGACCGCACAAAACAACTAAAAACGTGTAAGGAACTGAATATTGCTTGGCTATAGATTAAGCTTGCGGAGCATCACCTTATTCTCTGCTGATAAAGGATTTGTGAGCCATATACCTAGTGCAGCGCATAAAGTGGTCATGAAAAGATTCCAAAGAGTAGCCTTACAACTTTTCTTCTAGGAACACAGTCGCCCAGAACGACCTTCTGCAGTCATTAGAAATAAATGCTTTTCTCAAAGTGCAATTCACTGGTATCCTGCGCCTGCAAGTCGTTTTGTGGAGTTATTGTTGAAGTAAATTATTCCAACTGCATTTTCCTTCCCACTTTCCCAGTGCAGTCCATCACCTTCAAGCTTTACGTTCGGTTGCCTGTTTCTGTTTTTTTTTTTTTTTTTTTGTTCAATTAAGACACCGTACGCGCATTCAAAACTAAATATAACAGTCTTAACACACTTAAACATACATATACATATGTTATAAGCACATACATATATATAAATGTAAACATAAATAAATTATAGCAACAAGTTTCCAAGCGCAAGCCTCCCATGCATATCCGCATCTCCGCATAAGTATGATTAATCACGTGTTTTGTGCAAATGTACAATCGCTCAGCATATCTGCTACCCACCGATCGACCGATTCACTGCTGCTGCCACCGCCGAGACCAGTCAGGGTTGTACGCAGGCTTAAAGAGAGCTCACGCGCAAACGCAATTTAAGCGGGGCTCCGCTGAGGCAAGAACACATAAAAGCGCAAGCTCACAACAAATGTGTTTATTTATACATATGTACATATGTATGTGTTTACTTGTTTGTAAACACGCATGCGCGTCAATATTTTCAACGTCGTCGCTACACATATCCACATGTGGCCAAAGCAAAGGCCAAGCCTTCGTTTAGTGGCGTTGGAAGGTCTATTTATGCATTCAATTGCATTCACAGCTCGCATTTTGCGAATATACATATGTACAGACGCACTGCATTTAAAGACAAAAACAATAATCTTTTTATTTATTTTCAAACTGACTTCTAGGCAGCGAGTCGATGCTTTTGAAGAATTTCCGCATAGCAAAAGGAAATTACTAAATTTACTACAACAAGTGGTTGGTTCTTGTGTTGAATATACGCATGTATGTATGTATGTAAAGAGACAATTTGCATAACTCTAAAATACGCTTTTTGTCTTCATTCATGTAATCTTATTTACATTACATGAACATTAAATTCTTGATAATTATAATTTTTTTTACACACATACACATGTATTTACATACAAATAAATGTTTTATTATGCATAAAAGTAGTTACTTAAATTTTTTTCCCCATTTCTTCTTCTTAATTACAGCAGCGTAAGCTGTCACCGACATGGGCAGTGAGCACTACTGCTTGAGGTGGAACAATCATCAATCCAACCTGTTAGGGGTGTTTAGTCAATTATTACAGGACGAGAGTCTGGTGGACGTAACATTAGCTTGTTCAGAGGGCGCCCTCATCAAAGCCCATAAGGTGAGTAACAGATCATATTTATTTTGTGCCGACATATCTATCTATACATACATATACAATTTGAAGTGAACATTAAATTTGTCTAATAAATCTGCATAAATAACGGGAAAATTATTTAAAAGTGGTTACCCAAGCAATCTACAGTACAGAAGGTGTCCCACAAAAAACGAGACATATCAATTTTTTTTTAGAATATACTCATATGGATTTGAAAAGATACGCGATAAAAGAGTTTTTAAACTTTTAGTAATCTCGTTTTCTATGGGACAATTTTTTGAATGGTAAAATATTAAGGATTTGGTCGAGATTCCCATTATTTTACTTTTTAGCTTTATTTTAATGAAAATTTCTTCTATAAAAGTGGTTTAACTTGCAAAGATATGATAAGTTCTTTAATAAAATATGTAACAAAATTGCGCCACAAGTAATAAAAAGATTTTTCATTTTATTTTTTTGATGCAACTACAACAACAGCAAGTGTACGGAATAAAGTAAATATTACATTAAAAAATATGAAAAAGGTTAAAAGAAATTAATTACAAAATTTAAAAAAAAATTAATGAATGGAAATTAAAATATTTTTAAAAAAGTAAAACAAACAATTTTTTTCTTTTTTATTTTATTTATTGTTTTTATTAAGCTGGAAAATTAAAAAACAATTAGAAAATTTTATAATAAAAATTTGATGAACAAATAATTAAAGTCTTTAAAAAAAAATAAAAAGGAAAACAAAAAAGTTTGTTTCTTATTTATTCTTTTTTTATTTCTTTTTTTGTTTTATTGAAATGTATTTTATTATATGATATTTTATTTGTTTTATTTTATTTCATTACAATATTTAATTTAATTTATATTATTAATTAAAAAAAAAATCCAATTAGAAACTGACACCAAAATATATTAATTCTTTTTTTACTATAGTATATAATTTTTTTTATAATAGATTGACTATTAATAATAAAATATAGAATATTTTGTATAGAGTTGCCACTTGAAAACACCATTTTTAATTTTTTTTTTATATAAACATTTTTTTAAAACAGCAACGACTTCACAAAAAATAATGACCAACTAAGATTTTTACAAATAAATTAAACCAAAAAAATTTTAATTTAAAAATTTATGCCAATTTAAAGAATTTGCCCAATAACACTCTTTTTACGATTTTTCCTAAATTTTGAGCTCTTATGTTTCATGTCGCATACTTTCGGTTTCGTCACTCACTCAATAATTCACGATGATTACATAATTTTCATATCAATTTCACTTAGCAAATCACTCTTTTCAATTAACTGACAATTCTAAAGCACTTAAAGTACCTTTGTAGATGCATTTGAATGCACATATATACAATATAATGCATTATAAACTGGGAATATATGTATGTATGGGTACATACTTCCCACGAAATAAAAACAAACAAAGCATTTAGCATGCGCTTCACTCTTTTCAATTTGCGTTCCATTACAGCGCCGCACGCAGCCCTTGGCGCTAAGTTGATTTTGCCTACCCGCACACTCTGCTTCCCCTGCTTCTTCTTCTTCTTCTCACTCCCATGTCCCGCACACCATTATTGACACATCAATTGCAAGCTTCAAGTATTCAGTTAGCTATTTTGAGCGGAGTAATTTTCATATTTGTCAGTCAATTGTCAACTTAACGTGTACGCAGCAAACAACAATAGCAACAACAATAAGAACAACAACTACATATATTAAGCGACAGTTGTAAGTGAGTAAGTAAGTAAATAATAACTTTGTTTGTATGTGTTGCATGCCAAGTCGAGCGAGAATCATTTGGCATGTTGCGGCAACATGTTGACAAGGTCAATATTGCCACCACTTACTTACAGTTATATAACGCAAATAGCGGTGTGAGCGTATGTATATATGTGTGTTGCACGAGTGCATAAATCATGCCAACGTCGCAACGTCAACGGCAAATTCCGTCAATTAAATTAAGCGGCAACATTTGCCGCATGCGTTGCAATGTTTTATAATTTTACAATATTGCTGCTGTCAACGTTGCTGCTGTTGTTGTTGTTTTTGGTGTTATTTTGCACTACAGCGGCTCAATGTCATTAGGCTGTGGCTGTTGCTGTTGCTGCTGCTGCAATGCGTCTTAATGATGAAGTTATTTACGCGCCACAATGCTGCTACTGTTGCTGTTATAGTTGTTGTTGTCATTGTTATTAGAAACTTTCATAGCTGGCTGGTTGCATTGCTGTTTGCTTTTGTTGTTGACATTACAAACTGGTAAATTGTTCAATTATTATGCGTTTAGCTTGCTGCTCTTTCGCCTTCCTGCCTCATACTTTGATGCGTGGTAATTGTTATTGTTGCAGTTGTTGTTTTATGTCAGTAGCTCGGAGCTATATATGTAAAAGTATGTATGTACATATATGGTGCTCTAATAGAATTTTAAATGCTGTCATAAATTGCCAAGTGCCTACATTAGCGGCATTTTTTGTATGATATACATACATACCGACTTCGATATACGCCTGTATATATGTAAAGGTGTTTATTGAGTACGCGAGGTACTGAAAAAAAAAACACAAATAGAAAAAACAATAATAAAATAATAATATTTTATGCAAATCACTACCGACGCAAGTGGGTTCTGACAGCCACTAAGACGGTTTTGGAGCATTTAACGCGTTCTGAAAGTACTGCAGCTCTCAAAGCAGAGTACAAGCCATAGAAACCCAGTTAACACAAGTGGCAAAAGTGGCGCAGGCTGTGGCGCATACTTGACGTCAGAATTGAATTTTTACCTATAAGAGGTTGACCGAATATGCGTTGCACACAACAAATTTTACGGAAATAAAACACATTTTAGTTATTTTTTTTAAACTTAATTTTATTTTTAACTATTTTGTTGTTTATTATAATTTTTATATATATATTTTATTTTTTTTATTTTACTTATTATTATTTTAATTTACCTTCTTTAATATTTTTAATTTTTTTAATTTTCTTATTATTGTTTTATTTTATTTTATTTTACTTATTATTATTTTAATTTACATTATTGAATTTTTTAAATGTGTTGTTATTGTTTTATTTTCTTTTATTTTATTTTTTTTAATTTAATTTTAATTTTTTTATTTTATTTTGTTTTATTTTATTTTATTTTATTTTATTTTATTTTATTTTACTTTATTTTGTTTTATTTTATTTTATTTTTTTTTTTTATTTTATTTTATTTTTTTTTTTATTTTATATTATTTTATTTTATTTTATTTTACTTCTTTATTTTTTTAAATTTTATTTAATATTTTTTGATTTGCGTTCCATTTTTATTTTTTTTAATTTCATTTAATTTATTTTTAAATAATTAATTTTTGTGTTATTTGTTTTAGTTTTATTTTTTTGTTCTTTTATTTTGTTTTGATTTATTTTTGATTTTATTTATTTTTATTATTTTGTTTTATTTTATTTTACTGTAAATTATTTAATTTTACTTTTTCTTTTTTATTTTTATTTTTATTTTATTTCATTTCATTTTTTTTTATTTATATTATATATTTCTGTCTAAATAAATTTATTTTAATTTTGTTAATTTTATTTATTATAATAATTTTTTCTATTTGTGTTTTTAGTAAAGATTTTTTATTTAACCTACTCATATGCCTACTCGCTTGCCTCAACAGCTGCGTTCCGAACATTATTCTCTCATGTCCGCTCATTGGCGGAAACAAATTAATATTAAATGAACAAAATTTCCTTAAGCAACAGCAAACGTTATTGAAAAGTGAATTTCAGCATATTTTTCATAACTTTTTTTTCCAAACAATTGTGCGGTGATTAATTGTATTTGTTGCCTTGTGGCAGTGTGGCAACAAGTTATGCAACATTTGCGTTTATATGACTGGTAAATAGTTATAGATAATGGGAATGTTTGGCATAACCTATGTGTGGCATTGTCATATGATTAAGAAAAATGATGGTGCGGATAACGGCTGGCGAGTGGCAGCAGGCAGCTGTGGGCAAGAGTTTTTTTTTTACTAATAGGAATTTTTTATAGCATATTTAAAATATGAATTTCAATGAATATTTATTTTACAAATACAATGGTGAAAAGGTCTTGTGCACTTGATATATCGAGCATACATAGTTTTCCTATTTTGTTTATTTATAAATGTGTACATACCATGCTATTGTGAAAATTGCCCGTAGCGTAGCTGTCTATGTTTAAAGAAGTTTAATTAGAGATAATTTTTTAAATAAAGAAATTTGATTTTGCAACTGAAAAATTGCTTACAAATTATACTAAAGATCACTTTTTATCACGAATCATGCAACATATTGAGGAAACGAGTAAATTCAACAACACAAGGTAAAGCCAACCAGGCGTATGAGCAACATGTCCTTAGTAGACGTAAGGAGAGAGCACGAAAAAATATTAATCGACACCTGAACGTCTAAATTGATTATGGCAAACAGACAAAAGTATTGATTGCAACATGCCACAACACGTTTGAAAAAAAAAACAACAACAACAAACAACTTCTCAGGTCTTTCTAGAGCAAAGCAGTAAAAAAATCTCAGATGAATTAAACAACCAAACTCGAAAAGAAAATAATGAACAACAGCAAAAAGTAAGAAAAGTGTATAGTAAATAACAGCAAAGATCAAGCATGAGCAGCTACAACAAACAGCAACAAATCAATGAAGTTGCAATATTGCTTTGGTGTAAACAAGAATTTTGTAGGTTATTGAGTATGTGCTCAAAAAAAAAAAAACATATGTCCCTCACACATGTCAACACAAACAACTCATCAATGCATAATTTCAAATGGAAAAAAATGGAAAAAAAAGTTACAAGGAAAAAGGATTAACTTTCAACTACAGTTAGTAATCAACTCAGGCTGTTAAGTAAGCAAACGTTTTAATGGAAATTGATGATACAAGTTGACACTAGTTGATGCGGAAGGCTTGCCAACGGCTGTGTGAGTGCATGTGGCAAGTAGGAAAGTCGTAAATAAGAGGTTGAGA